CAGAAATTCGATTTCCTTAATATTAAACTCGTATTTACTAAGTTTATAAAATAGATTATTTTTATATAGCCTAGTAAATACCTAATAAACGTAATTATAGTATTTACTTTTATTTCGGGAATAAATAAGGATATTATCTAAATAAATAATTATAAAATAATTTAGAAGCCTTATAAATATAATATTAATATATATTTAAAATATAGCTAGTATATTAGCTAGTCCAAAAAATATTATAAGATATTTAAAATAGCTATAGTAGGTCCTAAAAGCTGTTTTTTACTTGTATTCTTTATAAATTCTTATCTAATAATATATATTCTTAAGATCTAGCTTTATAAAAATCTTGGCTTTTCGAAGCTAGTTAAGGGTTTTATTAATAAGAGAAAGCAGATACTAATTCTTAATTATAACTTAATTAAGTCTATAATAATTAATATAAAAGTATAGCTCTCTATCTTTTTTGGGAATAAAAAGAATAAGTATCCTTACTAGGCTTTTACTAGGCCTTATCTAATATTTATAAAGTATATCCTATAAATATAAATATAATACTTCTAGTTAGGTTTCTAATAGATTATATAAAGGCCTATATAGGACCATACTATTTATATTAATAAAGTATTTAATATTACTAAGATTAGGAAGTTCCGAAGCTTTATTAGAATTAAAAACCTTTAAGAAGTTTTCGTATTTATTATTCCGGAAATAAATAGGTATCTCTAAGGCCCTTTTCCGGAAGATATTAATTTGCTATATTAAAAACTCCTGTTTAGTATTACTAGAATTATATAATAAAATAGAGACCTAGTAACTATTACAAATATATAAAGCCTACTATTTAAGATAGTTATATTTGCCTTTTATTAAGAATAAGACTTGAAGTACTAGCTTAGGGTACTAGTTAAGCTCTTTACTAAACTCTTTTAGTATTAGGATCTTAATATTATTAGGCTATATAGGTATATATATCTATTATTTCTTAATATAGTCTATATATTATATAAGAGTTACTTTATAAAATTCTATACTAAAAACGAGGCTATAAGAGCTAATATTCTTATATTTATAGAACCGGAGCTTAAAAGAATATATCTCGCTATAATTATCTATAATAAATACCTTAAGATTATAGGCTTAATAGACCTTAAATCTGTTCCTATAAAAGATTATAAACCCTTGATTATACTTAGCTAAGATAGTAAAGCCCTGGCTTTAAGTCTAATTATTATTAAGGAAGTTATAATCTAATCCGGTATTACCGAGTTTACTATATATTTCTAAGGCACCTATTTCTAGCTATATTAATCTTACTTAAATAGTTATATAAAGTAATATACCTTTTTTATTATAGCTAAAATTATTAATATTTAAGATTTGGCTTTCTCTTTTCCCTATTTCTTAGAAAAGTCTTTTCTAGAATACTTCTTTATAATAATAGTATTAACCTGCTTCTATAAATACCTTGACTTTTCTATAGTTTTGGCCTTATTAGAGTTCTACCGAGCCTATTTAATATATTTGAAATATTTTATATTTCCTAAGAAATATTCTTTCTATTTATAAGTCTAATAAACTATACCTAAAATAGAACTAGTACTTTATTAAGGCCTTAAAGGGGCCAAAGTATTACCTAAGGGTTTCTTATATGATTTTCGGAACTTATTCTTCCTTTTTTAATAGCCTTATAAATTAGAATTTACTAAGTCAGAGTTCTTAGAGGCAGAATTACTCTTATTAAACTTCTCTGCTTTTATTTTCCTTAATTTAGGATAAGTAATATATTCTGCTTTCTGAGCTTTCTCAAGCTACTCGGAAACAGATACTACCTTATTTCCTGAGAAAATAAATATGAGTATCTAATAAGTCTTATAATTAAATAAAGTAGTATTAAGAGTCCAGATCCGGTCCTATTTAGGGTATAGGTTCTAATTAACTTTGAGACTAATTATCCGAGTATATAACTCGGTAACTATTTTACTATTCTTCTAATAAAGATCTCGGAGCTTTTTAAAGATATCTTATTAATAGGTTTAAGGTACTTGGAATATATTAGCCAAATAGGCCTTGAATTATTCCTAATAGACCTTATATAATAGTGGGCTTTACTTTATTATAGCTTTCTAAGTATTATAAGATTTATTTCTAAAAATACTTATAATAAAGTTAATTCTAGAAAAGTATTTATTATAAGTTTAAGGTTAGGTTCTAAAAACCGCCTCCCAGGAAAATATAAATATCCTCTATTTCTTAAGGGACTTTCTATAATATAAGTCAGGTATTCGGACCTTAAGAAGCTTCTCTTGATCCAAATATATCTTTAGGATATTATATAATAGCTTCTAATAAATAGTATTAAGATTACTCTTAAAGCTTATTATATTAGGAAAAAGGATAGGTTCTAATCCTATTTCAGGAAGTTCCCTAGTAAGAATTACTAAAGAAAAGAAAGTAAACTTATAAATAAAGTTTCTATAAGATATAATAAACCGCAAGGTATTCCTAAGGATATTCTTATATTACTCTAATTATAGGATATACTAGTTAATTACATTTACTAATTCTTGCTTTTATTAGAATGCTTTGACTTTAGTATATAAGCTCTATTCTATAGCTTGAATAGTAATAACTTGGGCATTAATCTCGGTATCTTAATTATTACCGGGATTATTTCTGTTATTATTACTAGCTCTTAGAGGCTCCTGAAGGGCCCCGTTAAAAGTATTAGATAAGCCTTTACTATTACTCATATTAGGGTTAATCTGGTTAACTTCCTCTATAGGAATAGCTCTGGTAAAGGGTTATATATTTTACAGATTACAAGATATAATTACTTATTAAATTATCTTCTTTAAGGATAGAGAGATTAGCTTATAAGATATTTATTAGTAGATAATAAGATAATAGAATAAATTAGTATATTATAAAACTATAGTATTAAATTTAGTATAAAACTAATCTTTATTTCTTCTATAAGGTCCAGGGAAGCCCTCTCTAAATAGGAGGCCCTAATAATATATATATAATTAGTAATTTATAAGCCTAATATATATAATATAAATAGTAGTTAGTTGGGATATTAAAGGGCCACTAATCTCCCTAATTAATACCTGTAATATCCGAGGTTCGTTATATGCCCTTAAGTCACGTGCGACCCTATATATATTATAGTTTTTTTAATCTTAGTATAAATAAAGTCTTTTATAAAAGCTTTATTATACTTATATATTTTTATAATATTTGGGTTTTAAGATAAATTTATTAGTACTTTTCTCTTATAAGTAATAGTATAAATAGATCTAATAAAAAAGGCTAGTTAAGATATTATATTAATATAGCTATTATTCTATAATATTATAATTAATATAAAAATTAATATAATATAAGTATAGACTTATTTTAGGCTCTAGAAATAATTTAATAATAATTAATAATATTTTATAATTACTAATATATTAAATATACTAATTATAGTTTATTATTATAAAACATATTATAAGAATAATCTATATAGAAATTAGTAAATTAATTAGTATATTAGAATACTAACTTATAAGTTATAATATAAAGTTATATAGTAATATAATTAAGTAATTAAAAAGAAATTAAAAAGTAAGTAAGATAAGATAAAATAAAATAATTTACTTTTAAGATATATAAAATTTTTTTTAAACTATTACCTTACTTTTCTCTATTATTTTTCTTTTTATTATATTATTTTAATTCCTTAATTAATTCCTTAATTAACTCTTTTTATAATATATCTCTTGATTTATATTAATTATTATACTAATTAAGATATAGTAATTATAATCTCTAGTTAATTATTTAATTATAATATGAATTAAGTAAACTAATAGTAAGTATATTACTTCTAGAAAGGCTTTTATAGATAAGGCTCCAAGAAAAACACTTAGTAATAAAGGCTATATATCTATTATTATATAAAAGAAAAGAAAATATAGATTTAGATCTAGTAATTAGTTAATTAGTAAAAATATTAGTATATTTACTAACTGGATTTATAGCCAAGGCCCTTTAAGAAATCAGAAAATATTAAAGAAGTACTAATTTATTAATTCTAAAAATACTATTTTATTAATTAGTAAAGAAGATTTTGGTTTAGGAAAGTAAATAAAATATATATATTTAAGCTTTAGCTTTATATATTTTATAAGAGTCTATAAAAGCGCTTCTTATTATAAAGTTTAAATATAAGTTATTTTTCTTAATTATACTAATTTTTATACTAATCTAATTCTAGTAATAAATCTTATAGCTATTTATATAAAGCGGGTTATTATTTAGAAAAAGAATATAAAGCTAGTCTAATAAATAAGATTAGAAATAATAGATATTAGTAAGATTAATAAATGCCTTATAGTAGTACTATAGAGTAGTTAGTTTACTTGAGTTACTAGTAAAGTAACTAGGTTAGGTATTAGGAAATTAATCTTTATATTTAAGGCAAAGTAGTTAGCTAGCTATTAGATTAATAAAGTAATAACTCAAATTATTACTTTTTTAATATATTTCAAATTAGTTATATTCTTTAAAGAACTAGTATAAAGATTAATTAATTAATTAATTAATTAGAACAGAGAGCAAGAGAGGCAGATTCTGCCGGGCCTCTTATTACCTAGAATAATAATTATTACTAATTATTAATAAATTAGTACAATTATCTAATTATTACTTATTGAGCTTATTAGAGCTCACACTGGCGTTATATCTGCTAGTATTATACTTTAATTCTCTCTAATATAATTTGTATTAAATATATACTAGTTTATTATATATGCCTATTATATAATAAAATCCTTAGGCAGAATTCCTCACTTCACGTGTGGTAGGGGAAGTCGGCTAATACTGGGGTTCGGAATTAGGCTAGCTATAAAGGGTTAGTGCCGCATAAAATTTGGGTCAAAAATAAAATTATTGAGAGTTGGGAACTAAAGCCGATTTCGAACTTAACTATACCCAGACTCTATCTAAGTGAACTAATTCAATAACAAAATACTAAACACCTCATAATTCGCCGGTTGGACCCCGGGTAAGTAATATTGACCATTAACATCCGTGCTACTAATCCTCAAATAACACTGTGGAAAATTGACCGACTCAATAGCCGTCGTCCCATCAGCCAATGTCTGAAAGTGGAAACTCTCATAATTTCCCGCACCCGGGAAACCACTTGCATAATACGCTGTATTAACAGTTCCACCACCGCTAGCAAGGGGAGTTTTTGTTTCCTCGAGCGGGCTGGCATCGAAGCGGAGATAAACGCCTGGAGCATTGGAAGCGCGAATGGCGTAGATACCGGTGCTATAGAGTTCGATGTAGAGGGTGGAGGAGGCGTTGATAGTGGTTGTTGTGGTGACGGTGCCGACGGCGGTGCCGTTCCCGGTGATGGAGAGGTAGGTCCCGAATTCTTGGGACTTAATAGCTGCTTTGATGACGACGTAAGACATGGCCGGGAGTCTGAATTCCTAGTTGGGTATTGAAGTTGATATTGATGTATTGCTAGGAATAGTGTTGCGTGAAGCGAAGTGAGAGGAAGAGGCGGGTAGTGGAGCGTGATCGATAGTGAGAGGAGATTGTGCTTTGTGCGAAATGGCCAAAGAATTGAACGAAGGAGTCCGTTGCCTCTTTATACCTTTGCCTCTCCCTCAGCTTTAGCCGTAGAAATGGACGACTTTCTCGCCTAGCCCTTCCATGCCTGACTCGGATCCGGTAACAATAGCTGGTTACTTCGCAGTAGTTCAATCTCTGTTAGATCAGGACCCACTTATACTTTCTTTTTGACTTTGCCTTTGGCTGTTCAACCCCCTTGGATTGTCACCACAATCGTTTTGCTTTATCCGTTCAGCTGCGAACAGGAACGCAGTAGGCTGTGCTCCTTTAAGCGAGCTCTTTTAGCAAATCATAATTTATATTTCTTGATCCAAGCCTTCTAATTCGCTACAACTTTGCGATACATTTGATCACGGCCCGCTGCGTTCCTGACCGCAGCTGAACGGATATACCGTTCAGCTGCCACCAGAACCGCCATTCCGTGATCAAATATACACGCCAAATTCTAGCTAATCAAAAGGCTGAAAACAAAGAATTTGACCACATAATTTGTTCGCTTAAATGTGCACGGACCCGGCAATACTGGTGGCAGCTGAACGGATATCTCTTACTTTAGCTGATACGTGACTGTTTTACTCTCAGCTACGTTCAATTCAGTCCTTTTCACGCCTATATTTATATGGTTATTGCCTCCCATAGCTAGGACTGGATCAACATTCACTGGCAAAACTGATCGGATACTTTAATTTAACAATCTCTTAAGATCGAAATAAAGTATACTCATCGCGACGTTGAGTATTATATGTTAGAAGGTCAATTTGAGGTGCATGTAATACAGCATATAATTGATGCAATTGATCATGATTTACAAGAGCTCAAAATCAGAGTTTTATCCTTAGCGCCTGTCCGTGCGCACCAGCCATTTCAATATTGTAGACATTGCCAGCGCTAGCGGCCGTATAAATGTGGATGGCCTGAGTGGAGGAAACTGTTGTATTTTGACCGAACGGGGGATATTCGCGTGCAGCCGCTAGCGCTGGCAATGTCTCAACAGACGAAGGGATAACCGTTAACGTGTCTATCCCTACAGTACTTTCCGCAAGCCAATGTCTTACAGCGACTCGTCGTAGCTCTAGACTGCATATGAGGTGGAAAAGAATGCAGGTCTTAGTATCCGTTGCGCTGCCACCAGTTGCGCCTTGGCCCGTGCTCATCTAAGCGAACTCTATGAGCAAATCATATTGTTAGAGTCTTCGATTTAAGATCTCTGATTCGCTGCCATTTGGCGGTATATTTGATCACGGAAAGGCGCAACTTATGGCAGCTGAACGGATATGATGCATGTCTCAATATATATGCAGGTCTCGATACGTGATGCAGCCAGTGTGTCAAAAAAGTATTCAAGGTATTCAAGGTATTCATGAATATTCATGAATATCTTGAATAGAATATAAGTAGCGTAATTCTCAAAAAAATTAGAGTAGAGTAGAATATATACTCATGAATACTCATGAATACTCATGAATACTCATGAATACTAGTAATTACTAGTCACGTGACCATGGGAAAATCAAGGTTTACTTAATTATTATTAAATAACTAAAGCACTTATTAGTAGCTCTATTTAAACTAAGCTAAGACTTATATAATACTAGTATATTAAAGAAATACTCAAACTACTTAAGTTACTTAAATATATACTTATTAAATATTAAGTAAAATATAAATAGCTTCTTTATAACTAAGCTTAAGTAGAGTAAAGTTAACTACTTAAGTAGTTTAATTACTTATTACGTGGTTTATTCTATTATATCTCTCTCTTTATATTATAAATACTATTTAATTCTTCTCTTTATTATATTTCTTTACTTTTATTATCTTTTTTACTACTTAAAATTCCTCTAATACTACTTATTATACTAGTAAAAATTAATATAGTAATTATGTATTATTTAATATATGTGACTTCTAAATATTAAATTAAAAAGAAAAGAAATATATAGGGCTTATTTTGACTTCTATTTACTCTTAGATATAATATAACTTTTTAAAGTAAGTTTCAAGCTAATAATTAAGTCGGGGGACTCCCTTATACGGATATGTACTTGTATATAACTATAATAGGCACACGTGATAGCGCATGAACAGGTGTCAGATGTCATGGATCTAGTTTCCTATTTTGGGTATAGCTTGCGATCGGAATTATATGGATTGCATGGGATTTCCTAATTAAGTAAAGGGCTTCGCATGCCTGGCTAAGTACTAGGGAATATATAGGGAGACGCTCCTAGCTTTGGAAGGGGCATTAATTAGTCTCTTATTGGAATCAATTCTTGGAATTAGTTATACTTGCAAGCGTTACTCCGCAGCTTACTTACCTTAACTACTTATATATTACCCTGCTATTACGTGCCTTATAATAACTTATTACTTAAGTTACTTAAGTATATATTAATTGAGTATTAAGTAGAGTATAAGTAAGACATATTTTGGCTAAATAAAGTATAAGTAGGACTTATTACTTTCCTTTACTTTACTTATTTAATATACTATATAATACTAGTTAAGTACTAATTTTCTATAATAATAAACTAATTTGTAATGGGTATATATAATAGTATATAGACAGGTATTAGATATTATAGATCTAGTTTCCTATTTTGGGTATAGCTTGCAATCGGAATTATATAGATTATATGGGATTTCCTAATTAAGTAAAGGGCTTTGCATGCCTGGCTAAGTACTAGGGAATATATAGGGAGACGCTCCTAGCTTTGGAAGAGGCATTAATTAGTCTCTTATTAGAATTAATTCTTGGAATTAGTTATACTTATAAGCATTACTTTACAGCTTACTTACCTTAACTATTTATATATTACCCTGCTATTACGTGCCTTATATTCTAATTAATCTAATCTTCGGGAAGCAGTTTATTATGAGGTAGTCAAGCCATTAATAGACAAAACCACTAATAGCTAGAGTATTAACTAGAAGAAGCGCCTCTGCTATTACTAGGGCAACCTAGTCGGGTACTTAGGGGAGCGCCTAGTTAGCTACTCTAGCTACTACCTAATTAGGAGAAGGAAGTAGAACTCAGATATCCCCAGAACTAGCTAGTAGGATAATAATAACAGAGAAGCTAGCGGCGGCTCATTATTACATTACTAAGTTAGAAGCAGAGATATAATAGAAAGAGGATCTAGAGGATTTAGAAGCTCAGATTTATTATCTTAAGGATATTTGGGTACCTATTATAGAACCTATTATATTACTAGTAGTATATTTGGTTTATAGGGCTCTAAAAACCCGAGAATTACTAACCTATAAGGGAAAGAATATTAAGGAAGCCTAGGACTTCTTTTACTAGGTAAAGCTAAAATAGTATAAAGATAGCAGGATTACCTAAGCTATAGATATAGTAAAGATTATATATTATACTTCCTGCTTTAAGAATATAACTAGGGATATCTGGAAATATAGAGAGTAATTAGTAAGCATTAATACTACGGATTAAAAGACCTTTATTAAGTTTATAAAGAATTCTATTTTAGATCCAGAGAACTATAATAATAATACCCTTACCAAGTTCAAGAATACAAAATAGTAGCTAGGTTAGAGTATCTAAAGCTTTATATTTTACTTAGATAGCTTATTAGATAACTTGGGATATACGGGTTTACTATAAGAGTAGGATAACTATAGGAAACTAGATCTATAATATCTAATACCTATTTATATACTATTATATATACCCATTATATTAATCTCTCCTCTAGGCCCTTATTCCCAAGAGGCCTGGGAAAACTGCAAATAGCTTTATAAATATCTCCCTAAAACTTTCCTGGCTACTAGCTTTCCCCAAAGACTTCTTATAATTACTCTATTATTATGCCAGGTAATAGAGTTAAGGATATAGTTTACTAATTCTTCCTAGCTAGTTCGCAAATTGCCTCTAGTAATTCCCTCTTATAAAGATAATACGAATATAGTATATACTATTAAATATAAAGCTTATCCGATCTCCTAATTAGTTCATAAATCCTAACTTAGCCTCTATTCGCAAATAAATTATTACTCTATAGGCCTAAGAGCTTAGAAAAGTTAATCCGATCTTCTAATTCGTTTATAAATCTCTTCTTTAAAATTTTCTGGGTATTCCTAGTATAAAGCTAGTTCCGAATTTGCGATTATTATTCGGGGAAAGGGTATTATAAAAAGGCCTCTCTTTTCCTACTAACTAACCTTCCTTTTCCTTAATTATAATACTATACCCAGCTTCTCCTCGTCCCTTGCCTTCCTTCTTTAAGCCTTCTTTAAGCTCCTTTAAGCTCCTTTAAGCCTTATTTAAGCTTTATTTAAGTTCCTTTCTAATTCCCTCTTTTACTTCTTTATTTATTAAGATAAATACTTCTCTTAGTACTTATTAGCCTATTATTACCTATTTAACTAATACTCCTATATTCTTGATTTGCCCTTATTATCTTTAATATTCCAAGAATATTACTAAGTTTCCTAACCTTACTTATATTAAGAGTAATAATTACTCGGTATATAATTATTACTACTCTAAGAATAAGAAATATAATCCTATAAGTTACAAATTCCTTCTTTTATTTCTTATTCTAATACTATCCAAGGTTCCTCAAGTATATATAGTATAATTAAATTACCTTCTTTAAGCTATTAATACATATAAGCGTCTTCCTTATTCTTTACCCAAAAGAGAGAAGGCTATTACTGCTTTTCTTCTATACTAAACTATATATACTTCTTGTATTAAAGCTATTATTTGAGGCTAATGAATTCCCCTAATAATCCAAGAAATAGGTCAAGTAATTCTTACTAGCTTGGCGTAAGTATAAAGTGCTCTTAATAATATAGTTAATATTCTTCGGTA